ACAATTTAGCAAAATAGACTTATCACAGGCTTATTCGCAGTGTGTTTTAGATGAAGAATCGCAAAAAATAACATGCATTAACACACACAAAGGCTTATTTAAATACACTCGTTTAGTGTTTGGATTAGCCAGTGCCCCAGCTATATTTCAGCAGGTGATGGAATGCGTCTTGTCTGGCATGGATGGAGTGTTATGTATGCTTGATGATATTTTGGTGACAGGGGTCAGCAGAGAGCTACATTTATAAAGATTGCATGAAGTACTACGGCGTTTGCAGAACGCTGGTCTCACGGTACAAAAATCAAAGTGTCATTTCTTCGTAGATACGGTGGAATACTTAGGATACGTAGTAGATAAGCACGGGTTGAAAAAGTCACCCCAGAAAGTGTCAGCTATTTTAAATGCCCCGGTCCCTAAAAATGTTGGTAAATTACAGTCCTTTCTTGGTCTTGTTAATTATTACCGTAACTTTATAATAATAATAATAATATATTTATTTGTCAGAATATGGGTTTACAGAGTTGTTAGTAGGTTCGTTTTAGATGCTAGCCACATTCTACCATTATCTGGTGAACAAAATGTTAATATACTGAATTTACTGTTTTTTTTTTTACAATTTAATCATGCATTATTTAGTAATATAGTAATAATTATGTCACAATTTCTCATCGTCAAAAAATTCTTTAACACTGTAGAAACATTTATCTAAGAGCAACGTAAATAATTTTCTTTTAAAAACATTAATGGTGTCTTCCTTAAATCTATTTGGTAGCTTGTTATAAATATGTATAGCCATACAGTATACATTCCTACTATACATACTTATTCTTTGTCTGGGAACTAAGAGTTTATGTGTGTTTCTGCTTGACCTGGCGACAGCGTCGTTATGTTTACAAAATAGCCGTTGATGTTTGTGCACAAAAACACAAATCTCATAAATGTACAGACTAGGTAGAGGTAGTATGTTGTATTTCTTAAAATGCTCTTTGCAACTATCGGTTTGCTGTAAGTTGGATAGTGCTCGCATACATTTCTTTTGCACAAGAAATGCCCTATTTGCCTCAACTGAATTGCCCCATATTATAATCGCATATCGTAGTTTTGACGACGTTTGTGCCTAACGCGTCTTCAGTTTTGAGTCCTTTGTATAGTTTACTACAAAAAAATATTAAATGGCATTGGGATTCCATCCATGACAATGCATTCGATACTATTAAAAAGTTATTGGTTTCCGATCAGGTGTTAGCTCACTTTAATATCGACGCTAAAATAATTTTGACAGTGGATGCGTCACCAAGCGGTCTATCCGCGGTGTTATCACAGGTAGACCCCGCCGACGGGTTGGAGCGTCCGATCTCGTTCGCATCGCGTACGTTGAATGCAGCTGACTGAGCGTCGATACTCACAAATCCAAAAGGAGGCGACAGCAATAATATTTGGGGTGAGGCGTTTCCACCAATATCTTTACGGCAGGTCTATTCCGTTTTTACTTCGAACAGATCATAAGCCATTAATCACTATTTTTGGCCCTCACCGAGGCATACCTGAAGTGTCCGCAAACAGATTACAACGTTATGCGATGTTTCTTAGCGGTTATAACTTTCGTATAGAATACGTTCGTAGTGCGGATAACTGCGCAGACTACTTGTCGCGCGCGAGCTTATGTGACGATAGGTGTGGCTACGAAAAAAGCGCTGAGGCTGCCGAGTTTATTGAAGATAGGGCGTCTTATGTAAATTTTGTGGTAGATTATAGTTTGCCCGTGACTCTTAGTTCACTACGCGAAGAAGTTAGAAAAGACAATAAGTTGTTAAGGGTTGTTAAATTCATACAAAGTGGTTGGCCAAGAAAAGTCACAGACAAAAACTTATTGCCATATTTTTTGTGTAGAACTCAACTGTCGGTAGAAAACGGTATAGTTATGAGGGGGCATAAAGTGGTTATACCCGCGTCTTTACAAAACAAAGTGTTGTCTGAACTTCATAAGTCTCATTTAGGCATTGTCAAGTGTAAGGCCAATGCTCGAGGTAGGGTTTGGTTTCTAGGAATCGATAAAGCTATCGAAGCGATGATTGGAGCTTGTAAAATATGTACACAGCTCCGGTCATCACCAGCTAAGGCACCGCTCGCTCCGTGGCCACACCCTCACCGACCGTTTTTTAGGGTACATGTGGATTTCCTTGGCCCGATAAATAATCAGTTGTATTTGGTTATCGTAGATGCTCATTCCAAGTGGGTTGAAGTGTATAACGTAAATAACACTAGTTCATTGGTAGTTATCACAAAATTATATGAATTTATGTCTCGGTTCGGTCTTGTTCACACTTTGGTTAGTGACAATGCTACATGTTTCTTATCGGCAGAATTTATTAAATTTTGTACAGTAAATGGAATATTGCATGTAACTTCGCCCGCTTATCACCCCGCTAGCAATGGGCAGGCGGAAAGTTATGTTAAGGTGGTTAAGAAGGGCATTAAGTCTAGTTTAATGATGAGTAATGACACCAAACAAAGTAATTTTAATTTGTTAAAATATTTATTTGATTATCGAAATTCGATTCATACCACGACTGGCCTTTCACCTGCTCAATTAGTGTTTGGCCGGGAGCTTCGTTAGCATTTAGATTTATTAAATCCACTGACTACAACGTCGCCGCCATTATCATCTAACGCCCTCTCTGAAGTTGTAAAACGAAATCAGTGTTCACAGAGTAAACGGTATGCGGGCACCAACAAACAATGTTTTATGTCCGGGGACCAAATTATGTTCAAAAAATATTGTACGAATAACAAATTTACATGGAACAAGGGAGTAGTGTTAAAACGTACTGGTAGAACAACCTACATGATTAAAGATTTAACAAATTTATTAAGCTTAAAAAAGCACAAAAACCAACTTATACCCTATCGAGGAACAGACTGTGGCAGCAACGCATACTATGATAGCCCTGTCGAAATGTCAGACTTAAGCTCACAAGCCGTAACACCTGGTTCTGCTGAAAGAGGAGCCTCGCTTCCCGAATCGCAGGCTCAGTTTGACCACACAGAGGATGGCAGCGCTCAGGGTACATCACCCACTACGATTTCAGAGTCCGCGGAGGTCACACAGAGAGCAGTTGGAAGCGTTCAAGCTACTACCTCATCAGATGAACGTCGGTCGAGTAACACGATGTCTTTACGGCCGATGCCAAGAATTAATTATTAGCCTTTTTTTAATATAAAATAATGGTAAACACTAAAAGGGGGAGAAATGTTATATATATATATATATATATCTATATCTATGTGTCTATAGTGTCTGCGCACACTATTGTTTATGCGAATAAACGGCAGTACGCACTCAACCTGCACGCGTTTCACTTGTTCCCACATACGTAACAAAATATTATAAATAAAGATTTTATGAAGCTACCATGCGAGAGGCAACTGAGCATATCCAAATTAACATTTTACGAATTTCACAGGTACAACCCTGAACTATACTTCAAACTAAAACCAGTAGATCAGAGCAGTATATTTAAAATTCTACAAAGCATTAAGACAAATGCAGCTGGTATAGATAAAATAAACATGGATATGCTAACACTAACTTTACCAAATTCACTAAAAGCCATTACAGATATTGTTAACACCTCTATTATTACCCATAAATTCCCAAGCATGTGGAAGCATTCCATAGTGCGACCTATACCCAAAATTGGCTCTCCGGATACTACAAAGGGCCTGAGGCCTATTAGCCTACTTCCCTGCTTGTCAAAAGTGCTGGAGAAGGTGGTATATGATAAACAGTCTGGCTTTAGGAAGGGACGTGGAACAGCAACGGCTTTGTGTGATGTTGTGGGCACCATCTTGGAAGCTAGGGATCTCGGAGAAGGAACTATACTTGCCTTGCTAGATTACTCCCGCGCTTTTGATGCCATTGATATATCCTTACTCCTGTCCAAATTAGCATATTATGGATTTGCCCCTGAGTCAATCCAGTGGTTTCACAGCTACCTCTCAAATAGGTCCCAACAGGTAGAAATATATAAACAGGATGGATCAGTTATGTCATCCCCCCCTCTTGCAGTAACCAGGGGAGTTCCACAAGGTTCCATCCTGGGGCCTCTTTTGTTTATATTGTACGCAGCCGACATAACTGATTGCTTCTTAAATTGTGGGTACCACATGTACGCAGATGATACTCAGCTGTTTTTGTCATTTAAGCCTAATGAAACTAGGTCAGCGGTGGATAAGATGAACAAGGATCTAGAAAGAGTAGTCAAATGGTCTGCAGAACACTCCTTAGCTCTAAACCCAGTGAAATCCAAGTTCATGATATTGGGTAGTAAGGGACAAATCCAGTCTATACTGCAGGCTGACCCTGCTATCATCATAAACGGACAGAAGATTGCAAGGGTAGATGAAGCTAACAACTTAGGACTACTAATGGACCCAGAGCTGAGATTTGAAGCACATGTAAGTAATGTTGTCAGGAATTGTTTTTATAGGTTAAAAATTGTATATAACATCCGTAACTACCTCAGTACACCATTAAGGAAACAATTAATAGACAGTCTGGTGCTATCCAGATTCACATCACAGTAAATGCTGAGGGTCCACCTATTCTGTGGGACACAGCGTACAACTCTCATCCACACAAGCTATCTATCTATGTGGTTAAGATTGAGAGGCCTGCTTGGTTACATGCAAAACATAGTAACCTAAAATAATAGTGAAGCGCCACGTCAAATATGATCACAGTCTCACAGACAACTCATGACCACAGATAGCGTAGTATAGTGTTGCACGTAAAAAAACTTTAAAAAAATGTAATATTATTGTAAGTTGTATTAAGTTACTAATTTATATTAAGTTGTATGCTGTGTCTTCTTACAGAATAAAGTTTATTTTATTATATTTTATTTATTATAAATCCCTGGGTCGCTCGCTGATGTTGTCTCCCTCCCACCTTGGTCAGCTTGTATCTCGATCGGTACTTTCATCTCGCTCCCACCCTTTCATGTCACCAGTTTATCAATTTTTGAAACTAATTCTCCAACTACCTTCACCAGGTTATTTATGATGGTAGAATTCTTATCAATAGTCAGCTGTTGATCTTCAATCTTCTTATTTTGTGCCTCAATCAGAGTCGATTGGTTCAAAATCTTCAATGTCAGCGCTGCTACTTTCTTCGACAATTCGCCAAAAGCCGTTTCAGGGTTAGATTTCGACATTTTACAAATTTAATTAATTCAGAACACAGAGACAATGTTGACAGTGAGTTGAATGTATATGTAGGGCACGTACACACGCACACCTACCACGTAACATTTATTATAGACACACAAAACAACATAAGCATAAACGCAATTACACTATCATAAAAATAGTTTCACACAACACTCGTATTCGTTCTAAGTGGGAATCGAACCCACGACGAGCTTCACAGTCATTTATCACAGTTATCTGAACACTTAAGGTTTGGAAATAGTTATTTATTACTTCTTAACACTACTCAAGACATTCACGGCACTTATGATTTTTTACATTATAGTGTTGAGTGATGTGGGTCGCTCCAGAACGATCGTATAGTAAGTACGTTAAGTTAGTTGGTCCATGGCCCCCTTACAGCCTGCGCGTTCTCGGTTATTGTTGACATTCCATCTTTATTTAATTAAGTAAATTTAAATAGTTTAAGTGTTGTGAATAGACAGTATATTATGTGTCGCGTTGTGTATATTGTGTGTCTCTTGCTTGTAATCCTTCTGTCTTTTAAATACGAGTAGTATATCGTGTTGTTGTGTGTATAAATTATAACAGTAAGTGGATATTGACTTTTATTTATAGTCACCCGTAAGTACACATACTGCTCCATATTACTATATATATATATATATATATTGATGCGTCGACGCGACGTTCCCTATTTCCGTCCTCCCCTTTCTCTCCAAGGTCCTTGAACGTCTTATTCATTCTCAACTTACAAGTTTCCTATCCAAAAACCTGCTCCTAAATCCTCTCCAGTCCGGTTTTCGACCCGGGCACAGTACCACTACTACCCTAGTTCATATTACGGAGGACATCAGATCTGCTATGGAGAATGGTGAGCTTACAGTCCTAACATTGCTGGACTTCAGTAATGCATTCAACACTGTTGACTTTGACGTTTTGCTGTGTACATTACGCTCTCTTAACATATCTCCAACTGTGATTGACTGGTTTCGCAACTACCTGTCTGGTCGCCGGCAGCGCATTAGTATTGAAAGCACTGTTTCTTCTTGGTGCAGTAATACAGCCGGTGTACCACAGAGCGGCGTGCTATCTCCGCTACTTTTCTCTGTTTTTATAAACACTATCACCAATGAACTATCTTCTTCCTACCACCTTTACGCGGATGATCTCCAGATCTATGCTAGGGCTTCACTGGCTAATCTTGCTGATGCTGTAGGCACTACAAATGCTGACCTTGGTAAAATATGTAGGTTGAGCAACTCCCACGGCCTGAAAATCAACCCAACTAAGACTCAGGTCATTGTCATTGGAAGCTCGCGAATGATCTACAAAATTGACTGGACAAAACTGCCTCAAATTACTTGCAATGGTACACCTATTCCGTACAGTAATAAGGTCAAGAATCTGGGGATATACATGGATAGTACCTTATCCTGGGGTCCTCAGTTACAAGAACTGAGTCGCAAAATGTTTGCCGCTGCAGGGTCGTTACGCCGACTACGCAACTTTCTACCTTTTTTTTTTTTTTTTTTACGTGTGGAAATCCCCTCGGACCGTCACCCCGCCGGGGCTCTCGTTCGGCGTGGCGGTGTGTCGGACTCGAACCGACTAAAACCACACGGTGTGCCCTCTTTGCGCTTCCAGTTTAGGAGGGGTCCAGGTAGTTATCGCCTTCTGGACCCCTCCCAGCGCCGGCCCGCTCCTGATGCGGGCTCCGTCTCAGTGGACCCTCTCTTTAGGCGACGTCCGGCACACGCGGACGCCGTCCCCTCGCGGCTGGCCAACTAATGCGGGTGGAGGGGAGAACCTATCCCGTCCACCCGCGGCCACACTCAGGGCGGCATGAGGCGCAGGTAAGCGCGCCTCCGCCGCCCGGTTCGCCGGCGGCGGATCAGGTCCGAGTGGAGGTCGTCCTCCCGCCGCCGCCTCCTTCTGCGAGATTCATCCGCGCAGAAGGTTGCGACCGCGGGAAAACAACTGTCGCTACCGGCCATGGAGCGAATTACGGCCGGTAGCGAGAGATCTGCTCCGATGACTGCAGTGAGGGCCCGGCGCTGCGTCGCCCATGCGGGGCAAACCGCCAGCGTGTGCTGGGCCGAATCCTCACTGCAGTCGCAGTGGTGGCAGGCGGGACTCGATTCCCTCCTAGCGACCGAGTACAGGTACTTTCCGAAGCAACCGTGCCCGGAAAGCACCTGCGTCAGCCGGAAGGAAAGGGTCCCGTGCTGCCGCCCTGCCCACTCAGCGATGACCGGCTGGAGAGCCTCCACGGCGGCGAAGCCAGCGCGTGGAGTCTCCAGCCGGAGCGATCATCTGACCATGGTGGCTCGGCGAGTGGTTTCGCGCCACTCGCGCACGTCTTCGGGCGGAGGGCGAAATCCACTCGCCGATAAACTTCGGCGAGCACTTCCGCCTCCAAATCCCACGGGGGTGTTCCGGCCAAGGCGCAAGCCGCCTCGGTGGACACCGTGCGGTATCCGCGTATGGCTCTGACCGCCAATATCCTCTGGGGGCGCCAGAGGCGCGCCCTATTCGGGGCGGTCAGAGCCGCCACCCACACCGGTGCACCATACAGCGCCATGGACCGGACAACCCCCGCATACAGCCGCCTCGTGGGAACACTGGCCCCGCCCAAATTGGGCAAAAGTCGCCCTAGGGCGGAGGCAGTGGCCACCAGCTTCGGACCAAGCTGTCGGAAGTGCTCGTCGAAGAGCCACCTACCGTCTAGGACCAGACCCAGATACCTCATCTGGGCTCGGACCGGTACGAGGACCGAGCCGACCTCGATTGAGGCGCCGGCGGGTGGACCACGACGGGCCCATGAAATAATAGGGCCTCCGTCTTATCCAGGGCCACCCGCAAACCCAACGCCTCAATGCGCCCGACTACCAGGGAAACTCCCGTGGCGGCCAGGCGCTCCGCCTCCTGGAAGTTAGCCCCCCGGGCCGTGACTAAAGTGTCATCCGCGTAGCAGATGACACCCAGCCGGGGGGGAGACGCCCTCGTAGGGCCCAGTCGTACCCGATGTTCCACAGGAGAGGTCCTAGGACAGACCCCTGCGGAACACCGCACGACACGGCACTGCGTCTCAAGACGCCATCTCGGTCCTCGTACATGACGGTTCGCTCCTCAAGATAGTCTGCCACCAGCCGCCTCAGGTACTCCGGCACTCCGTGGTAGCGGAGCACTTCCCTGATGCAGCTGAATGGCAAACTATTTTAGGCATTGGCGATGTCCAAGGACACCGCCAACACCACTCCGCCGCAGCTCACGGCCTCCTCGGTCACGGCCCTAAGGCGCATTACGGCATCGATCGTCGAACGCCCTTCTCGGAAACCGAATTGGGCGTCCGACAGATCGGGGCCAACCTCGCAAAGGTGCCGGACGATGCGGGCAGAGAGTACCCTCTCAAAAAGTTTACCCGCCTCGTCCAGCAACACGATAGGCCTATAGGCCGCGACCGAATCGGTAGGCCGTCCCGGCTTCCTCAGCAGGACCAGCTTCCCGCACTTCCAGCGCTCAGGGAAGCGTCCGGACGCCAGGCTAGCGTCCAACACCCCCCTGAGGTGGTCCGACATGTAGTCGAGGGCTCGGGCCATCACTCGGGCTGGAACCCCGTCCGGCCCGGGACGCAAATTTCTACCAACTCTAACCAAAATTGCTCTTGTACAATCCCTTCTTTTCCCCATCCTTGATTATGCTGATGCCAGCTATCTAGATCTTACTGAAGACCAATTGAATAAGCTTGAGAGACTCCAAAATCTCTGCATAAGATTCATATTTGGACTTCGCAAATATGATCATGTTTCTGAATATCGCAAGAAGCTTAAGTGGTTACCCATTCGCCTTCGCCGGGATGCACATACTCTTTCTCTTCTCTATAATATTCTATTTAATCCTTTTACTCCACATTACCTCAAAACACGGTTTACTTTCTCAAATGACACACACCCCAAGCTGTTGAGATCGTCTGAGAACCTGCAACTAAAAATGCCGGGACATTCCACTAAATTCCTCGACGTCTCCTTCTCTGTTAAAGCGGTTCGGTTGTGGAACGCCCTACCGGTCGTAATAAGACGTGCACAAACACTTGATTCCTTCAAGAAACAAGTGAAAGCACATTACCTAGGAGACATAAATGTACAATAATTATTAACCGCCTTCTAAGTCCATAAGGTTACATTATTTCTTATATTTAAGTATATATATTTGTATTATTATTTGTATATTATTAATATATATTATAGATATATTTAAGAATATACATTTGCGTGTATTTATAAATCACATTTTCTTATTTATTTACTTGTATGTATCTAATAACACCACTAGTCTTATTTAGCATATAGTATATGGCATATTACTTCTAATACCTATGTCATATATTCACCTAAGTCGTATCAGAGTCCTAGACCTAGTCCTACTAGTTATTTTTTTGTAATTATCACTTTTTTTTTATATTTATATAGATGCTACATTGATTTCCTCTTCTAATCTACTCGTATTTTCTTAGTACACCAGCCACTACCCTACACCTCCTTGCCTTTATGTTTTTCTCTCCATACCAATGTTGCCTGTAAGAGATTGCCTCTGAGCGATAAGGCCGCCATTTGTACCTGTCTAACCTAGCTCAAGTTAATCTTTATATATTTATACCTGGTGTACAATAAATTTATTTATTATTTTTATTATTATTATTATTATATCTAAAATGTCTTTATAATTGCACTAAGCTTCAACCCGGCACTCGCTTATCGATCAGGAATGCAGTTCTTTTGTTCTCCTTGTAGCCGGTCCTCGATGCAATGTTGAACTTCGATCCGGCTCGAAGTCGACCATATGATGAGGTCGTAAGGTAACTGAACCTTACGACCTCATCATATGATCGACTTCTGGCTTGGCCGCCTTTTGCCGCGGCTTTTGCTGGCGGATCGGTTAGAGAAACACGTCTTTCCTTCGTAAATTTATATTGGCAACTACTGCTTAATCGTAAAGTTAATTGAGACTACGTTTTTAGGTTCCAATTCGCAAAACAGAATTGCCAGCGTCGCTTATTATCGCTCCATTGTGCGATAATAAGCGACGCTGGCGATTCTGTATATTTACGAGTACGAGTTCTACTGTGGCACCAGTGCTGCAGAAACAGCGCGAAGCACTAACGATGTGTACGGCGCTGGTGTCGCAAAAGAAAGCACGGTACGTTTTTGGTTTCAACGTTTTCGTTCTGGAAATTTCGAAATTCAGGACCAACCCCGTGGACGGCCGGAGACCAAAGTGGAAAATGAAGAATTATAGGCTATTGCGGAAGCGGATCCATCACAAAGCACTTCAGAGATAGCTGCAGGCTTCGGGGAAGTGATAAAACTGTATTAATCCACTTGAAGCAAATCAGGAAAGTAATAAAACTTAAACGATGGGTACCTCATGAATTGAGTGAATCGAACTTGCAATCAGGTCAACCGACACAATAATGAAGGGATTTTAAATCGAATCATTGCTTGTGATGAAAAGTGGATACTATACGATAATCGGAAGCGCAATGGCTGAACCCTGGAGACCCACCCAAATCCTGCCCTAAACGAAAATTGACTAAGAAAAAAATACTTGTGAGTGTTTGGTGGACTAGCGCCAGTGTCGTTCACTACAGATGTCTATTGTCAGCAACCGCAAATCATGAAGGAAGAGCTAGCTGCTAAACAACCGAGATTGGTCAATCGCTCGAGGCCACTGCTGCTTCACGACAACGCAAGACCACACACTGCACAACAAACAACCACTAAGTTAGATGAGCTACAATTGGAATATTTGCGACATCTACCGTACTCCCTTGCTCCAACAGATTACAATTTTTCCGTTTGGACAACTTCTTACAAGGAAAAAAATTCAACTCCGATGCGGCAGTCCAAACCGCCTTCAAAGAGTTTATTGATTCTTGCCCCCATGGTTTTTGAATGAGAATGAACTACCTATGAGATGGCAAAAGTGCATAGATAACAACGGTGTATACTTTGATTAATTAAATATATTTCACAAAAAAAAAAGACTTTATATTCCACCCGTACAAAACGCCAATTTTATATGTAAGGACCTACTAGTACTAGATCATGAGTTACGGGTTACAGTCCAATAGAGTTGATGCTTGGCATTTGCGCCCAATCGTTAGGCCTCTCAAAAAGTCTAGGCGATACGAAACGAGGCGTCCACTAACATCCATTACGTGTTCATTAAGAGTTGTGAACGAAACCTAACCAAGTTATCTAAAAAAATTCGCGGTCCCTTTGTTATCGCCCAAGTCCTTAGCAACGATCGGTATGAACTCAAACCTATTACGGGTGGCAACCGTATCTACACATACACACACGCAAACTTGGGCCTAGTGCCAAGGGGTTTTGAAGGGTTAGTTGAAGTCGCTAACAATATGTCTAATGACGAGGTGGCCGAGACGGCGGTCGATGGGAAACAAACTGACCATGTAATCCATGTTGATGGCGACAGTGATACCATCTCGGTATTGAGTGAGAGCACCTTAACCGCTGGCTCCGATACTCTTTCAGTAACTGACACTGAACAACATTTAGGAGAATCTGAAGTTGAGATTCACGTAAATGAAAGTAGGTTCATCCTTTATTAATAGAACTGAAATCAGTAACGAGAATAGGGAGCCAAAGTGAAGATTGACTGAAAAGGTCCTATACGCCTGAGTCACGTCTTAGTACTTATAATACTGGTTATAATGGCTGGTTGAAAAGGCCCCAAACGCCTGAATCACTCCTGAATGAATGGTCGAAATGGGCCTAAAATGGGCCAGAGCCCGAGGTTGGCTGGTCGGCAAGGGCCTAGTGCGCCCGGTCCACGCCCCTAGGTAGTTTTAGGCTAGTCGCAAGGACCTAGTATGCCCGGTTCACGCCCCCCTGAGTAGTTGTAGGCTGGTCGCAAGGGCCTTCCGCGCCCGGTCCACGCCATAGGGAATTGATTGGAGGTCAAAGGGTCACATGCACCCGGTCCTAACAGTGCGTGTAGTGAAGGCTGGTCGAAGGGGCCTGATGCGCCCGGTCCATACACAGGCTAAGCATCAAAAGCAAGCTTCGTGTCAGCATGGACGAGAGGACACTAATACGTTGTTGTACCTTTTCAGGTGATTCTGCACGACACTACTAATCGCACGAGGACAGGTGCGACAGTCAGAGTGGGCCGCGACGGGGCACACATTCATTTAGTAAGAATTTTTAGGAACGAACAATTGACAGTTGTCAGACGATATAACACCGAGCGCTGGGGAGGCGGCCATGGTAAATCGGGTTGGGAGAGAGCGCGCACGCACCCACGTGTTCTAATCGAATGTCTTAAATCACTAATAATTAAGAGTGTTGAAGATTAATTTGGTTATTAAATAAACGAGTGTCGATCACATTGCGAAGTATTTTTGTGATTAACACATCCTGGTCTCCTCGCCCAACTACCCATATTTGTATCATGCCTGATTAATCTCAGAGTGATGATGTTCTGTCTACTGTCGCGCCTTTAAATATATATAATGAATCAATAGTACAACACAATATTTCTCCTAAGGATTTTCTATTTTAAAGATTGTCTTGGACAAGATATCATATTGCCTGCAGATTCTTGGTATAGTAACATTATGTCCAAGATTTGATTTGGCTGTAGGTACCGAAATATAAATAAAGGCAGCTTGTCTCGGTCCGTCAGATCGGTCTAATCCCTATGGATTAGACCGATCTGCCATTTCTTTAAGAAGTATACTTTAAGAATATGAGGTATACTTAACTATTTAAGTATACCTCATATTCGGGTTTTCATAGTGTACGAATAAGATATGTCTATGTATCTATATAAATATACTTGTATATATATGTATGTGTATCTATGCGTATTTATGATGTGTAAGTGTAGTATGTGTGTATATGTTTATATATGTAGTGAACCGTATATATTTTCATTGTACATTTGATATTATGATGTAACCTCTGTGCACCTACCTTACAAGATTTCTACATCACCCAAAGGTTGACTGGAAGAGAATGCCTGGGCACTAAGTCCGCCGATGTACAAAAGTGCATAAAGATAAATAAATAAATAAATAATTTATTCACAAAAGACAAGTTAACACAAGGTTTCATAAATGTCAAGGTTTTTTTTTAAATGTGACCTTACACAAGCGCAATAAAGTTTTTGGAAACCCTTCCTGTATACATACATCTAGTTAATATTATATTTATAATCCATCCATCCATGTCAGCCCATAAACCTCCCACTACTGAGCATGGGCCTCCTCCAATGGTGGATCAAAAATTTGGCCTGCTATACCATGCTGGCCAAACGGGTTTCTATAGTTTTCCTGCTCTTTTTTGATATTAGATGGTTGAAAATGAAACTCAGTTTAAATAGTTAAACCTTTATTCATCATACACTATTAAAACATCATCCAAAAATTAATCAGGAGGCAAAATATTACCTTGATGCCGTTCCCACCCCAAATACCATAGCACTGTCATGACATGGGCACAGCATCCTACTGTACGACGGCCAACGATGCAGTTGCAACAGCATTGTTTGATAGCCTCGCGACCAGTTTCCATATTGGTAACTAGTATATATATGAAGTATATTTTGCGACTGATGTGTCGACTTGCAATTCTTGTTCTAAGTAGGGAACAATTGGAGCCAAAAATTAGTTTTTCCATTATTCTATTCCTAGTCTCTAGAGACTTCTATTTGGTATGACCCGTTGGTCCTTATATGAATGAATGAATGAATAAGAATGAGCTTGTTTCAACTGATATATCCCACAGGCAATCAGTATTAGCTCATTATTAGTTAGTCTTGGAAAGTCCCTAATATTTTCCCTGTCAATATTAATATTTTGGAAATCTGCTCTGGCTCTATTGAGATTATGATCCCTAACATAATCTGAAAGGTCATTGTTTCTGTTCATATTCCTGTTCACAATTTCAATTATTTCAGCGGCAGCATCTCTGTCTCGTAATCTGGTGTGGTATATATTTTTTTTATGGTGTAAGTGGGCAAACGAGCAGACGGCTCACATGATGGTAAGCGACTACCGCCGCCCATGGACACCTGCAACTTAAAAGTCACAAGTGTGTTGCCAGCAGCCACAGAGAAATCTATCATTAGATGCTTGGAAGCTCTGTTGAAAAAGCTTTGCCTAAATAGTTTAAGCTTAGCCTAAAGATTTTAAGCTTAATCTTTTGGGGATAATGGTATATGGATATTAAAGCCACAACTCCTTAGGAGCGGTAATGAGTCTCTAAAACCTCTGTCGAGAATAAATACATCCCCAGGTTCAAAAAATTACTATTACTAAAATTACTATAATTAAAAGGACTACTTTCAAACATTGTCGCTCTGTGCTAGGAGCTCTAATATAGTTAGGCAACTGCAAGCAATGAGATGGAGTTGTATTTCTTCCTTCAGCTTGTAATTGGGAAGATTCAATGTTCAATGAAGGGAGACTTGACATTGCTGATTCCCGATCTGAAGTAAAGCCAGCAGCTGCTCTTTCAGTCCTTCGCCAACAGGTATGACAAAGATGGGCTGATCTTGGCAAATGTTAAAGAAAAAAGATAACTGATATGTTTTTTCTCTTAAAATAGCAAAACAACAATCCTCAGAACATGATTTGACAAAGAATTCTATCCCATGTAGGTACTTTTATTTGAATGAGCGAGTGTGGGAGAAATGCATTAATATGCAAGGAGTGGCAACGGATAGTGAGGTGCGTTACCAGCCAGACCAATGACCATGACCACTCTGCTGAGTGTGATAACGAGTGAGAAGATTTTAATTTACAATTTATCGATAATATGTATGTTTAAAACCCTTTTAAAAAAAAAGTTAAACCGACTTCAAACGACACCGACAAAGAGCACTAAAAATTAAAAAATAATTACAAATCTAAGTAAAAAACTATAATAAGTACCCTCACTGTAACAGGTAACATTATAATACCAATAGTCCCTTCTAGTCTGTTTGAAGTCGGTGCCAAGCCAAATAGGTGCTTGATAGGCATGGTAGAATGTAGCGCGGCAGCTGCAACAGTCTTCATGCTGCGCAAAACATGTTGAACGAGGTAAAGTGGACGGACATCTCCAATTATATTATTATTTTGAATGCTTTAATAAGTAGTTGATAAGTTTGCGCACGTGATTGATCTGGTTGGTCTTTATTAATTAACAAAATCTTCGATGTTTCATTAGAATTATTTTGAATTCTTAATTTTTCATTGTGCTAATATAAAGCTGACATAGACCAGTATTACTTATTGTGCATCGAGCTTGGCACCGACTTCAAACATACTAGAAGGGACTATTGGTATTATAATGTTACCTGTTACAGTGAGGGTACTTATTATAGTTTTTTACTTAGATTTGTAATTATTTTTTAATTTTTAGTGCTCTTTGTCGGTGTCGTTTGAAGTCGGTTTAACTTTTTTTTTAAAAGGGTTTATTTTACCATTTTTAGTGTAGGATATGTTTGTAATGAGTAGATAAGTACGATATTTAAAACACTACGTACCGTAATGTTAAGTAAGAAACTGTAGTTACCTAACTGGAATTGGGGGTGATGATGTAAGGTGTGATACTCAAATTTTAAATGAAGTACAACTAGGTGAAATAACTCAGACCTTACTCTTTCATGTAGTACCGGATTCTTGCCTATCAGAACCTGTCATCATAGGTAGGGATATCTTAGAAAATTACATTATCGTCCAAACTGATCAAGATCAGCTTAAATTCTTTTCTAAGAAACAGTCAAATTCTCGTGAGTTGCAACCGAACATAATAACTTCCGATTCAATTGACACTGATCTAGAAGATAGGGAAGCTTTAGTGAGACTTCTCAACAAATATGCTCAATATTTTATAGAAGGAGTTCAAACTAGAAGGGTTAATACTGGTATGTTAGAAATTAACCTAGTTGACCCACACAAAATTTAAGAGTTTTTTCCAGAACTATTTTAATAAATTAAGTATAAAATTACTTACAAACGAAATGCGATGCCATCCATAGCAACAAAACGTCTATCCGAATTTTTTTAACAAGATAGAATACAACATTTAAACCTTTTCTTCTTAATACAACGAAAATTACTGTGGTGACATAAATACTGCAAGTTCTCTGCGCATCACATCGCGCAGTCTGTGACGGTTCCCATGGTTTGTTTGGCTAAAGAAATACTCGTAGCTAAAACACGTTGTCGGGGCTGTCAAATTCCCAATAATTGTGAGGATTTCCCTCGATTTCTCTAGGATCCCATTATCAGATCCTGCATTGGTGATAATGGGACCAAAGAATTTTGAAAATCGGTCCACAATTGACGGAGAAATTGCGTAACAAACATACATAAAAAAAAAACCTCCTCTTTTGTGTTTTGGAAGTCGGTTAAAAAGAAAACATACTGTCGAATCAAAAACCCTCCTTTTTTGATGTTGGTTAAAAATCGACTAGCATGAAGCTCCTAGTCGAGACGAATCAAATGAGCACAAAAATTGCTTTATTTTATTACAGAGTTCCCATGGCTATTTACCGTCTCCATCATCAGACCCTGAATATCACATAGGATCGGAGTCCTTATTAATTAGACTCAAACACATTCAAATTCGATGGTATTACATAATTTTGTTACAGAGATCCCATACTCCTAAACCATTCATCATCAGCTTCATCATCAGCTCAGCAACATCAGATGGTGACCATTAGATGCAAAAATCTACATAGATTAAGATAATTTCTGATAAACAGTGTATATGCCTACAAAATTTGAGGGTTTCCCTCGATTTCCCCAGGATCCCATCATCAGATCCTGACCTGGTGACAATGGGACCACCTCTGACGTATGACCTACCAAATAAAAAAAGAATTATTCAAATCGGTTTATAATTGCCGGAGTAATCGCGTAACAAATATACAAAAAAAAAAAAAAAAAAAAAATACAGTCGAATTGAGAACCTCCTCCTTTTTTTGAAGTCGGTTAAAAATAATATTTAAGTATGTTTATCAGCAGTCTGGTTACCACAGTAGAGGCTCTGCCTAGTTTGGGACCAGCCAGCTGTATGTGAGATGTTATTGTTCTTTATTCTTAGAACATTACAATATAGCTATAATTCAACTACCTGCATAGACACTTTATCTCAGTCTAAGACACATTACAGCTATTTATTTCAAGTCTGATTGTAACCACTCATAACTCTCTTTACAAAGTATATTCCTAACAATAATATCCTATATTATCTTACCTCACGTGGTGCAATTTAATGGGTAATAATATTCCTTATTTGTTCGCAATGTGGTGTGGTTAAAGCTATGTGACCCTTGCCTTAAAAGCGAAGTTCCACAGCT